GATTAATCAATTAAAGTTATTAAATATATTCAGTCAAGATCAGTGAATGATTTTCTTTTGTTCTTTGATTAACATTAATGACAGGCAGCGCGTTTATTAGGCTGCTGTCTCTTTAACACCGAACGCACGCAGATCTAAAAATACTGTACATGTGTGTTTTCTTTCTCATCTGTTTATGTTCACGTAGTTTTCTGCATATTGGTTGACAAATATGAAAGAAGTCAGTTTCGGCCCGGAACAAACTTTTTCCACAGTGGAAATACACGGAACGGTTCGAGAACGGACACAAACCGGGAACCCGTACCGTGACCTCTGTTCTCTGTGGTCGCACTTGCGCTTCGTGTGTGCTGCACGCAAACAGGACGCAAGTTCTTTCGGTTCCTGCACTTAAATCGTTTTTAATCACATTCAAATGCGAACGCAGGAATCGTTAAGCAGAATCGAAATGCACGCGTCTTATCGAATACCGCGGTTCTTGGAAATTTGGAACCGGTTCTAAAATGGGATCTATTTTTCTATTTTTCTATTAAATCTATTTTTAAGGCTGCACACTGAACATTGATCTCTGTGCTTTCTAGTGGGTAGCGCAGCTTCACCACACAGCTAACTAAAACAGGCTGGGTGCAGATTAATATTTCTGCAATAAATATTTATTTGAAACACGTTAGGTTGCACAGACGAAATCCCAATTTAGGACCTGCCCTGTACAGTTTAAGAATCTGTACCGCTATAGCAGCAGAGGACTATTATTTATGATTTTAAATATTATATGTGTAAAATCTGTTTATATGATGTGTGTGACTATGTGTGGTTCAGCTTTGGTTGACCAGTTGGTGGAAAGGGGCGTCTTATGACCGCCCACATGTGGAAAATGAACTTTGAAGTCGTTTATCCGCTTTCTGCCAGTGAACCAAAAAACGAAAAAACAAGTCGAAATCTAGTTTTTTTTCTTCATTATTTAAAAAAAACAACAGCAAAAAACAAAACAAAAAAAACAAATAAAGGCACCGTTTTCTCGTTTCTGCTTATTTCATTTAAAATTGAAAAGCAAACTATCAAAACGTACACGGACCCGCTTTACTCTTCGCAGACAACATACATAATTGAGCAAAATAATGATCTTTAAAATAGCATCATATGACCCCTTTAAACCAATAA